TAGCAATATTGCTATTGGTGCACATAACTGTAGTATCTCAGTGTGTATGCATTATAATAATGAATCCGAAGAAGTGGGCTGTAGTCCACGAAAGCTTATGCTCTAATAAATTTGTTAGTCTCTAAGGTGCCACAAGTACTCCTGTTCTTCTTTTTGCGGATACAGACTAACACGGCTGTTACTCTGAATAATGAATCATGCATCTCTCCAGCTTTATTTGTGCATGAGACCTACCAAGAGTGCTTGGCTTTTTTACTACTGAAATGGAGAGGTTAACTTTTAAAACCAAACATATGAATGTAATCAGGAGGGCATGTAAAATATGGGGGCTGAGCTATTTGACAGCATTTGAAAGAGGCATGTCTTAACATGTTTTCTGTTAGAAAGGATTTTAAGCATTACAATCTGTCAAATGAGGTATCTGGTTACATGGGAAAAGGGTTTCTTACCTTTTCCTCCCACTATATTCACGAGGAAGGCATCTAGAAGTCTGATTCTGAAGCCCTAATGTACAGACACCCTGACTTATTTTATAAATATTTGAAATTATGTATGTATGTCTATTTTTCCCTGTAGTTGCTAGTTTTGGAAGAAGAGTTGAAAAAGCCCCAAGCAGATTCTTTACATATTTACTCTGCATCAAATTCTGAATCATAGAAATTTGTAAGTATATTTATGTATGTTATCTAGCCTCACTTCAAATACACTAGTGGAGCATGTTATGATGGCTTTGGTATTTATAAACAGTAGCTATAATTTCCATGACTGTTGTAAAATAAAATTTGTATAAATTACAAGCAATATATAAAATCTAGTTAGAATTTATTTCTAAAAATATCTGATACTTTGTGAACCCTGCATACAATTTACCTCTTGAACATGTTCTTTTAAACCTGTTCATGGGAAGTATTACACTATCTCTGAGCAACTAGGAACTTGTGCAAAGATACAAAAAGTCTTGGAACAAGTTTATACGCCCTGCTGACCTATTCAGCAAAAAGTCTGCTAATGCACGTGGAACTCTTTTTGTTCTTGTAAGCAAGCTCTCTCATCAACATGCTTCTTAACAGCTTGTGTTGGCCTTTCCAGTTTGGTCTGTTCCAAAGGAAGAAGGGCTTGAGCACATTCTGTGATTCACTATAATGTATATGATATGATTTTTTAAAGTTACTTAACAAAAGGTTGGACTCCGGGTGACGTAGTTCTCCTTAAGCGTGTACACGCACTACAGACAGCAGTTTAGACGTGCTGGCCTGGGATTCCAGCTCTAGCCAAACAGGCATGATGTTCTCAAATGCTGTGGTGATCTGTTAGCTACTTAACCTTTTGACCTTGTGTTGAATGGCATTGTTTCTGATCGCACTGGGCCAAATTCACCCCTGGTGTAAGTCCAATAGCTTTCAGTGGAGTTACGCTATGGAGGAATGTTGACCAATGTGTTTCAGCAATTTCACTAGGTCATACATACCAAACAATAGTAGGTTGAGTGCACTGTTCCATCTTCCCTAGCCCCCCAGCCATAGGGGAGCACCCACGTCAAAAAAAAGGTGAGTATTGAGCACCCACCGGCAGCCCCCCATCAATGCCTCCCCCTCCCCCCCCAGTGCCTCCCGTCCACTGCGGACCAGCTGTTCTGCGGCATGCAGGAGGCGCTGGGGGGGGGGGGAAGGGGAGGAATAAGGGTGGGGTGCACTTGGGGGAGGGGGCGGAACTGGGCGGGAAGAGGTGGGGCAGGGTGGGGTGGGGCGGGAAGAGGTGGGGTGGGGTCTTGGGGGAAGGGGTGAAGTGGGGGCACAGCTGGGAGGGAGCATCCCCCGGCACATTAGAAAGTCAGTGTCTATGCCAGCACACTAAAATGGTGAGGACCCTCGCCACTGGGATATTCTGATGTGGGTCTCTCTGTCTCTCCTGTTGAACCTGTTCCACTTTGGATAAACATTGAGCGTTGCAACACGTAAGTTCCTTTGTGGATCCGGGCCAGGGTGTATCACGAATATGAGGTAGGGGATTCCAGGAAGAGAAAAGAGTCTCATGGTGAAGACAATGGTGAAGATGCTGCCCAGGAGAACTGGATTCTATTACTGCTCCTGCCACAGTTACTCTGTGATGCTGGGCAAGCTACTTAAAAAAAGCTTTTCACAGGTAATCACTAATTGTGTGTTCCTCATTTTCCGGGTGTCCAACTTGGGACCCAGAGGTCTGCTTTGCAGAAGTGCTGAGCACTCACAGCTGCAGCTGAGTGAATGGGAGTTGTCTTTTGAACATATTAAATGTATATGATGTTAAGTACTCAGAAAAATCAAGTACTAATTATCTCAAATTGGGCACCCAAATTTAATTTCTCTGTGCATCAGTACCTGATCTGTAAAATGGGGACACCAGCACCCAGGGGTGCTGGAATAGAGGGGGCCCAGTGGACCATGGCCCACCCACTTTTTACCGGCCATAAGGACAAGCAACTGGGTGGAGGGGGCGGAGAGGAGTGAGCGGGGGGCAGAGTCTTGGGAGGAAGAGGTGGCTTTGGAGCAGGGCCTTGGGGCAAGAGACAGTGTGAGGGTAGGGCCTCGGGGGAAGGGGCAATGTGAGGGCAGGGCCTTGGGGGAGGGGGCGGTGCGAGGGCGGGGCCTTGAGGGAAGGAGCGGTGTGAGGGCAGGGGCTCGGGGAAAGAGGTGGCTCAGGGAGGATGGGGCCACGGTTTGGGCACCTTTGGCCCTCTCACCTTTAGGGATCTTTTGCCGCTCCTGACGCCCCCTCCCCACTTCACGGGGGTGTAATGTTTGTGAGGTAGTGAGATACTATAGTGATGAGCACCATACAAAAGCCCATGACAAAATTAATAATTCTGTGTTCAGAGCAGGATTTGAATAGTCTGCTGTAAATAAATCCTGGGGCCACATATTGAACAATTTGGAGAAAACAAATATTGAATAGCTGCTCATTAAGGGAATGCCCTCCATTCTGTGCACTGAATAAAGCAGGGGTCCCATGAACATATATGTGATCATATAATTAAAGACTGTATCCTAATGCATACCCACAAGGAGACAAATTAAGGTTGCACAGGCAAGTTGAATTCTGGCATTTCCTGTCTTCTTAATGCTTGACTTTGCAGCCTTAATAAGGTTCCTTTAACAGGGGTATGTGTGGCTAAATCCTGCCCTAACTACTAATATAATATATAATATATGGGCTAAATCCTTCTCTAGCTAGTGCAGGTGGGAGCAGAGATGCACACACTCTTTGCTCTCACCCGGAATCCTGGAGTCAGGGGAGGTTTCTTCTTGGCCAGTTGGGGCCCTGTGCTGTGGTGTGCACTTCATTGGGAGAGTTTGTTTGAAAAGTAATCCAGCTGGAGGCCACAGGACTAGTGTTGGTCGATGTGTATCACTCCCACTCTTCTCATAGCCAGCTCATTTCAAAATCCCTCTTGCCATGCTGATCCCTGGATCAAGAAAGGGAGGATGTGCTACCATGGAATTGGCTGAATCCTTCTCTTTGGGTGTGTCCCCTTCCAGAGATGGGTCCTCGGGATACCAATATTACGTAAGATACAACAGAAGTTGTATTACACACACAAATTTTAACTGAAGGCTGAGTCAGGCAGCAACTATCACAGAGATGTTTCTGAGAAGCTGCAACCATTTTTTTATTTGGTCTGAATTTTTTTTCTTAATTATAATGTGTGCGATGTTACATTTAGCAATACTAGTAACTGGCGGAGGGGAAGTAGATGATTCAGGGGATTGGTAATGAGATACAGAGCCTTTCACCTCTGGGTCAGCAATTCAAATCCAGCTCAGGTCATTAATGTTGAAATGTTATTGCCTTCTAAAGTTGTTTGATGCCCTATGTGGAATGAGTTTGGTGGCATTAATCCACTTCCTAGTGTACAAATATCCCCATCATAAAAAAACTCCTCTACTCTGGCCTCCACTCCCGTTTGCTTCTCTTGATAGCAGTCTCTGAGGAAAGGCTAAGGAATGAAAAGGCATAGGCACTGCACTAGTCTCTCACCCTGATTGATCTTGGTAAGTCACTGTGGAAATATGTGTCCACCGTGTAGTTGTGTTACTGATCGAAGAGGTCAGTCCTAGGGCTGTCAGCCTAACACTTTTCACCAGCACTTCTTTCTGCACCAGTCGAATGGCACGTTAAGGCCACTGAATAAAAGTGAATCCTGGAGCCTACCCTGCACACCCTAATGCAATCCTCCATACAGTAAATATGAAGACCCTTTTGACATACAAGTACTGAGGCTGCACAGGCACTAATGCAAGGACAATCTGCCCACAGACCCCCAGGCAAACCCAATATAGGGGAAACAAGTGATATGGAGAGTCCATCCTTGGTGACATAATCTTATAGCTAAAGCCCAGAACTGGGAGATCTGAGGGTTGTTGTTTTTTAACCAGTTCTGCCACAGATTCTTTATGTGACCTTGAGTAAGTCACTTAATTTGCCTGTGCTTTCATTTCCTCATCTGTAAAATGAGACTAACACCTACCTACCTGACAGGGTATTATGCAGCTAAGTTAATTGCATTATCATTATTATGATGATGATATATTGGTAATGTACATAGATTGAAGTGCAGACTATCATTAGTTATCATTATTAATTTTGCATGTATTAATTATAATTCCTACCAGCGGCCTCCTTCCTGTGGTCAAAGTGAACAAGAGTGCTTACTGTGGTGGGTTTTTTTAAACTGGAAAAAGCATGATGGAAACAATGAAGTAGTAGCTGTTTTCAGAGGTTAGAAATATATCATTAAATGCCTTCACAGCTGAATGTTTTTACCTATCATTGTTGCACACATTATGTAATATTACTGAAAGAGAAGAGGGATAACAATTCTATCTTTTAAATTTGTCTTTGTCTATTTGACAGCACTTCAAGTAAAATTTTCAAAAGCACCTAATTAATTTAGAAGTCTAAGCCTCACTTTAAGAAGTGAGTTAGGCACTTAGGCCCAAATCCTCTAAGTATGTAAGCAGTGCTTCATGTGTAATGAAAGAGGTACTGGGGCTCAAGCAATTTTTTTTTACATTCATAATTGATGCAGCAAGCCCAGAGTGCCAGGGCTATGAACTACCAAGCCTAGATGTGCCGTGGCTCAGCCTGGCAAGGCCTGGCACAACTTAAGCACTGTATATAAGTGCCTAATTCCCACTGATTTCAATAGGCAGAGAGAGACTAACATTTAAACAAATAGAAAAATGTGATTGTAAAACCACAAAAAAATTGGCAGGGAGAAACAAGGCCAAGGGTAGTACCTGAAACTATGCTTAGCTTTTCTTTAATTGGACTAGATTTCAAGCTGATGGTGATCCCTTTATAGCTTTAAACTGCTGTACTGTATGCAGCGTTTGAGTCTGCCTATATACAGAGGCCGATGGGGAACATGTTAATTCTAGCTGATCTGGTATGGAACTGACAACCAGCTCAACTTCACTGCTTCGGGGGGACATTTTGGCAATACTGGAACCTGCACACTGCAAACAGCTTTAATGGTTCTGGCACAAGCCTTGAGACGCTTTTGGCCTTGGCTCAGAGATTTTAGACTTTTATTATATGTGAGGATCTTTGTTCATAAAGGACCCATATGGACAAAGCGTTGCAGAGCTTGAAATCTTCACAACACTTTAGGAATATATTGACACAAACTGCTCCTGGATACTGTATGTGTGTTGGTTGAGCATAATCAGCTTTTATATTTGTCCATGACTGCAATTAAATGGATTCTGTCTTTTCCTTTTAATAATTTCATGTCTTACATAGTATTTTGACAAAGGAGGGTGTAGGCTTGGGACAAAGATTAATTATTTGTTAGTTGTATGCAGTCCAAACTAGGCGTTCTTAACAACAACAAAAAATCGTGCCTGCCAAATGATAATCTTAGTTCTGTGTTTTAGTCTCAGTTTGTAACAGGCTTCCTGTTAAATACTTGTCCTTTTCCCATTTTCTGTGGGGCATTTAGTAGCCTATTGAACTAATGTGTATAAAGCAATGAACGCAGCTACAGCTATGTCACAGAGGGGTCACAGATTCCATGACTTCCTGTTTATTTTTAAAAGGGGTCACTGGGGTCACCATCATCCCTCCACCCCTCACATCAGGAAATCCAAAGCCAGGGTGCACTCCATCCGCTTTCAGATCTCAACAAATCCAGTTGTTGATTGCATTTTTGGATGCAAAGGAGCAACGCGAAGTAGGGATAGAAAATGTGACGTTCCCTATTTATCAATCTGAGGAAAACTATTAGAAGCTTGACCTAAACTGTCCTCACTTCTGGCACCTGGAAACATTGCTCACAAGTCTCTATTTTTAATTGGATTGTAGTAACCTCTGAACTTCTCAAATATTTTCATAATCCTCTCCCTTCCTGGCAAGACACATTGTAAATATCTGTTGCATCTGACTCTCTAACACAGAGGAATAAGGTCATTTTGCTAGATTTTTCAACTGTGCTACCTGAAAATGAAAAAAGTCAGCTGCTGGATTAAAAACAAAATTAATTAAAAGGTTTAACATTTTCCATTCTCTCCAACAAACTCATTTTGTTCTTACAAATTTTGCTGTAGACTACCTCAGCAGGAGCAGAGTAGTCTGCTATACATTGCAGGATTGGGCATTTAGTTTTTTACAGTGTATCTTTCTGAAAATTAGCATACTCATATATATGCATGAATACTTTTTAATAGGAAAAATCATAATAAAATCATAACAAAATAAGACAAGACTTAGCATCTCCATATTTCAGGCCTTATTTGTGGACAAGTGGCATATCAGGGCCTTCCTGATGTTTCCTTTTCACAAGCGTCTTGCAAACATGGTATCCCAGATCCACTGAGAAATTATTCCAAAAGAGTCCCTCATAGCAGGCTTCAAAGAGTCAATAACAGGGTTCCATATAAAGTAAAAAGCTGACATCAAACTTCTGTTTGGATTTTTTCTGATTCTCTGACACATTTTCTTCCAAACTGAGCTAGTGTGATGACCTTCATCTTGCCTTTTGGCATTTTATTTTTTATCCACTGTTTCCCTTAACTTCTGCTACCATCAGTTAGCTTCCATTGTGAACAATAGCTGTGCAATACATAGAAACATGCAACATAGTGATTATTAACAGCTTTTAAAAACATAAGCCTGATCCTGTAAACACACACACGTGCTTAATTTTAGGCACAAGTAGTTCCATGGGAATCAATGGGAGTACTCGTGTTTGAAGATTAGCACGTGTGTTTAGGCCTTGATCCTACAAATAGTTAAGATCACATATGGCTTTATATTCACGGGGACTACTCACATGCATAAAGTTACAAGTGTACATAAATGTTTGCAGGATGAAGGTCTTACTATGGGCTATTCTAGAGCCCATTGAAGTAAATGGCACAATTCCACGGACTAAAGTGCGCTTTGAATCAGGCCCTATGTCCTTGCTATGCTATTAGAAAAGGACACAATAAGATAAGACTTACTCTTGTCAGTATTTCCACTGAAGTCAGTGAATAAAGCTGGCAGGATGTGACCTAGATTTTACTTTCTAAAAATTTATTTTAAAAATCTCACAGGCATTTTGTGACACACAGCAGCAAATCCAGTGTGTCTATTTTAAGCTGCATCTTTGAATGTAGTACTTTTCATTTTAACCTTGGCTGTGCTGTTATTTTATCAAATTCAACTTCCCTCACAATGAGGCCCTTTCAGGACTGTTTGGCATTTGTCTCGCCAGTGGATGTTTCTTTTTCACTGGAAAAGTTTGCTGTAATGTTTCCTTAGGGATTAGTTTCAATTGAATGAACAGCATGTAACATTTGCTGCCTCACTAGTGCTGCAGCGTGAATTGTATATTTCAAAATTTGTAAATAGAATTTTTTTTTTATTTACAGAAGAACATGGTATTTTAAATTAAAAACAAAACTTCTAAGGTTTCTAAAATGGCCATCACAGCCTCTCTCCTAAGCAGAGTGAGTGGCCTTTTACAGGCAAGTCTGTGTGGTTGCTTTAGCTTCTGAACCATTTGGCACATATCTTGCAGTCCTTCAATAAGCAAATCACCTGTTAAAGTCAGCTTACATTTGCCTTTTTGTAAATCCTTTCAAGCAACCTGCCACCTTCAATAGCAATAACAAGGTAGAAATGTCAGTAGGTCAATGGGAGTTCTGGCTGCAAAGGTTGCCAACTTTCTAACAGAACAAAACTGAACGCCTTTGCCCCGCCCCTTCTCCGAAGCTCCGCCCCACGCAGTCCATCTCCGACTGGGTGTTCAGGTTGAAAATCAGACACCTGGCAACCCTTGGGAATGGGCCTTAAGTATTAACCTGAAGTACCTTCAGTGCAGAACCTCTACAGAATTTAGTTCTCACAAATGCAAAATAACTGCATACCCAAAAATGTGCCTAAATTAAGGCTGTAATTTAATGTCAGGTTTTAGTTGTCCCAACTTGGGAGGCTCTACACTCAACTGGATGGCATTTCTCTGTTTATGGATAGAACATGAAAACTTTTGAACACAGCATCGGATCAATTACAAAATTTCAGGGAATATTTTAGTTCTCAATGGCGAGAACCCTATGGATTTTTTAATTCTCTATAGATCAACAATTGATGGCACCCATTAACACCTTCCAGCATAACTATTACCCTCCCCATCACAGCTCTGCCCATCCTCCCAATACTACTGAACATGTTGACACTCTGCATGACATATCTCCAGACAAATAGAAAAGAAATAATAATGGTGGGGGAAAGTTTGGAACATGTAGGGAATGGGGGGCACACACAGCGCCTGGCATGGGGGACAAAGGAGGAAGTGGGGGAAAGGAGGGAGGATGGTGCTTGGCCTACAGTTATGAAGTTTGCACCCCCTAGTGGTGCAAACAAATAATTCAATTACATCAGCAGAAACCACTGATGAAATAACAGTCTCACTATGCACAACTGAGGGTAAATTGTTCTTTATAATGGGCCATATCCTGCTCATCATACACCCACAGGCAGTCCTATTGAAATCAATTAAACTGTGAGTAAAGCAAGCCTTCAATAGTTCTCTGCAGGCAACACGGCATTACCACAAACCACCAATAGGTGTCCTCTAGCAGTAACTCTATTCTTCTATATAGTATTACAATAATATAGCAATGGGTATTTTAGATAGAGTAAGCCCTATGGGCTAGATTCTGTAGGAAAGAAAGGAAGAAAAAGAACAACTGAACATATCCTCTGTTTGACTTCCATACTGGCAAGGCCATGAAATCATCAGGTTTGGGGAGCTTATAGGCTGTGGTATAAAACCAACATTTTCTATTTAACCCAGCCACTGTTTGAGGAAAATCATGTTCAGCTTTTCACAATGAGTGCTGTAATGTTTCCCTTCCGTTTTTCCAGAGTTAACTGGAAGCAATAAAATGATAGTTAAAAACTTAAAATGGCTCATCTTGATTTTTCCATCAAGTTCTGCTTCTTATGGGGGAAACGTAATCACAATTTTGCCCTCCAGTTTAAAGCCTGCCACAGCTGAAAGGTTTACTAACTAACACTGCAAACGGCTCATGATCCTAAATGCACAAACACTCGTTCTTGGCTCCCACCCAACATATATAAATACATGCAATTTTTCCTTCAAAGAACCTAGAGGCTAAGCAAGAGGGCAAAGGAGTACGTGACTAAAACATCCTAACTTCCTCTTTCATAAGTCATCACATGATGAAGTACACTTACAATTCCTGCCTTGTCTCTGCGAATCGCAGACGCATTGCCTCACCCTAGAAACCCTGCGCTCCTCTGTGAATGTGTAGGCAGCAATTTCTGCAGCCGGGTTGGAAGGAATCCAATTTCAGTCTGGAGAGAAAGGGCAGTGGGTGGAAGGCAAAAACAAAGATCTGTTTACTTAGTATACATTGATAAAGCTTCTTTAGAAGAAAAAAAAAGTAGCTTTAAAAGAATTTGACACAGTATGAACGGGGAGCTGTTGTGAAGCAGAAAACAAGACGTGTTAACCCTTTTAGTGCCGGAAAAAAATCAGGACGGGAGTGTAGTCCAAAAAATAGCCATTTCATTGACAAGCTAACCTCAGGAAAGTCACCAGGGCTACTATACCAATGAAGTTGCAAATATTAACGGACGATTAATGGGAAAATAAAAGGAACTCTCTCCAGAGAGAGGGAGTGAGAGATCCTACAACTAGACAATGTTTTTGCATTTCGTTTATAGCTGATGGGGCAGCCCCAAAAGGGCAAGGTTTGGTTTGAGTGAATGTGCAAGGCGGTGTTTACATTACTCTTGCTTCACTCGGGAAGGATCTACGGGCGGGGAACTGCTTAACCCTTGAAGGGACAGATTGCATTACCCGGGGGCCAAGTGGCGTGTGTGGGGAATTGCGCTATCACCGGTTGCAACTGGTTCGGGAAGGGGGGGAGAGTGTATTACCCCTAGTTCCACGGTGTGTACGGGGATGGGCGGCGTTGTATCAAAATCCTCGTTGCACTTGCACTGATGTGGGTGGGGGGAAGCGTGTTTTGCATCAACACCCGGTTGCACGGCGCGCGCGCAGGGTGGGGGGAATGACACTGTCAGAAGACGCATTAGCAAGCGGCACCGTTTCTGGAAATCCCCCAGAGCAGAATCATGCGGCGTTTGCATGTAAAAACGCTTCAGTTTTGGGATTAAATGTCCTCCGTGTAATTTTAGAATAGGGTTTTTCATGTGACATAAGCTCAACACAATTGTTTCCCCGAGGGTGGTTTATTTCTCCCACCCCCATCCCCCCGCGCTTTTTAAAAAAACCTTTCAAGGCACCTGGCATTTTGAACAGCAGCACGGCAGAAACCTCAGCAAGATTCCATCCCCCTGGCCAAGCCAGTAGGGGAGATCATATAATTTACACTCGCCTCGTCCAACAGAGCCAGCTCATTCCAGTCCAAAGAGGGGGTGGGGTGTGTTGAGAGACAGCGGCCTACGGCGTTTGATTCCCGGGGGGCGGGGGAGAGTGCAGCTCGAAAAGTTGACAGATAAAGAAACTTAGTTTGAGGATGGGGGCGGGGGGAGATCATTTTCCCTAGTTTAACTCTGCAGTTGGATGAAAGCATTCGCCAGCAAATAGGGCAAGGACATTATATCAATTTACTTGTTCGCTTTGATGACATCGCACTCATTAGCTCCATAAAAATATCATGTGTCCATGCTACGTATCTTGTACACGGGCTGCAAATGACAAAACATCAAAAGCCCAGCTGGGTCTGTAATTACAAGACAACCCCATGCCCTCCGCCAGTCGGTTCTGCAGTAACAAATCTCCCAACAGCAACATAGTCGGCAGTGGGAAAATCAGCCTCATGCCAGCCTGTCTCAATTACTGGCGAGCAGTAAGCCCGAGTAACAAAAGCCTGGGCTGGTTGTCAATGCAAAGGGAGAGAGTACTACAGTATAGAATGCGGCTCATACACCCATTCCTGTGTACTGTACATGCTGCTCTTCTTGCTACGTTAAGTAAAAGTTAAGCCTGGCAGTGGGAGGGAGCTTTTAGAACCCAGAAATAGCAGCAAGGGAGGCGGTACTTAGTGCTGTGACGGGGCATCGGCGGTGCTGGCTGTAGATTCTCTCTCTGAGTCTGTCCCTGGAATGTGCATTTCGTTTAATAAGGTTTCAAGTGCCAATTGCATAGAGTCACGTCCCTCACTGAGTCTGCGCACAGGGCGCAGCTGCAGCCCTGAAACAAAATGCGGACGTCAGAGGCTAGAGCTCAGCTTCCTCCATCCCTCCCTTTGTAACCTACATAACTCAGCAGCGGCACTGTGGGAATGGTGACCCAAAAGCAAGAGTTTGAGAGAACAGCTTCCACTTTGTTTACTCTGCACAATCACACACACAGCTCTCTCTATATATTTGGACTACTTCTGGGTTGAATGATGACTTCATGTGCAAATGACAGATGAACAGAACAACATCCCTTTCTCTTTTTGACCGGCTGCAATTGTCAGACGAGCTGTTTGGAATTCTTAGTGCGGAAGAAGGAAAAAAAAATGTCCGCAGGTTGGGGAGGAGAGAGATTGTGTTTCTTTGCTAATCTGCACTAGAAAAGGGATGGTTTATGGCTGCAAATGACAAGGAAATCCAGAATGTCCCATTTCCGAACCAAATGAAACAATTATTTAAAAATCCAGAAGAGTTAAATAGCAATTGTATTTATAATGGTCCCTTCCCTTGGCGTAAGGCAATGCAAAAACAATCCTTATACATGTACAAAGAAATTACATTACTTAGCGCTTTCGATCTTCCAGGTGCTGTACACATATTATAACTAACCCTCGCAAACCCCTGGGTGTTGGGTATTGTTAACCCCTTTAACAGAGGGGGGGGAATTGGGAAAGTTGTGAAGTCAAAGGGATCGGGCCCGGAGTGATTTCCTCAAGGCCACGAAGCGAGTCAGCGTCAGAGGTAGGATTAGAACAAAGGTTAGATTAAATTCCAGCCAAAAATGAACCGTCACAAAATTCATCCTGTAAAATATATTTTTTAAATCAAGATGGCATCGTTTTAAAAAACATTTTTGTTAAATAGATTTTTTTTCAGTCCTGCCTGACATAATTAGCCCTTCTCTCCTCAGAGCACTTCACTAACACTAGCTAGGCTGCAAAGAAGATGGGGAAAGGAGCTAAAAGGACTCCACAGACCCCTATTTGCATCCCATTCACATGTGCAAGCCCTTGCCGCTCCCCCACCCTCGGCTGAGTAGGAGGGAGCTGACTATTCTTGCAGCTCTTGTTGTCTTGGGACTCTTGGCAGAAGTTCAAGGAGCAGCACCAGCAGCAGCAGGCGGCCAGAGGAGAGGGCGCCGAGCGCGCAGGCGCTTCGAGGCACTGTCGAAGAATCGAGTCACTGGAGCAGAGCGCACAGGCGGCGGCTGCTGCTGCTGGAGTCCCCGCCCCAGTGCGAGCGCCCGGGCTGCAGTAGTGAGCGAGCGAGCGGGACAGGCGGAGTGAGCAGCGCACTGGAGTAGGCAGCCCAGTGTGCAGCAACCGGGCTATGCGCTTTCCCGCGTCCCAGTGACTCCAGCCGGGAGGCTTCCGCGCCCGGGAGCCGCTTGTTTGCAGGGGGCGGGCAATCGGCGGAAGATCCTGCGGCAGCTGCAAAGCCGGAGCCTGCCCGTTTGGTCTCCGGTTGCTGGAGGAGGAGGACGCGCGGGGGGCGCTCGCTGCCCCTGGGCTGGGACATGTCGTCCGCGGCGGTGGCGGCTGCTTCCCGCAGGCAGTCGTGCTACCTGTGCGACCTGCCCCGCATGCCCTGGGCCATGATCTGGGACTTCACCGAGCCCGTCTGCCGGGGCTGCGTCAACTACGAGGGGGCCGACCGGGTGGAGTTCGTCATCGACACGGCGCGGCAGCTCAAGCGGGCTCACAGCTTCCAGGAGGGCCGGGCCCCGCCGCCGCCCCACGCCAAGCAGCCGCCGCTCAGCGCTAAGGAGATCCTGGTGCAGCAGCAACAGCAGCAGCTGAACCACACGGCCGTGGCGGGCGACGCGGTGTCACGGCCCCCGCCGCAGCCCCTGGAGCGCTACCCGCTGGCGGCCGCCGCTTCCTCCGAGCGGCAGCCGCCCCGCCTGGGAGCCGAGTACGGGGGCAGCCGGCAGGTGAACGGGATCCTGGTGCCCAACGGGTTCCCCAAGCCCGAGGAGCCGCCCGAGCTGAACCGGCAAAGCCCGAACCCCCGGCGGACACACACGGTGCCGCCCACCCTGGTGCCGCTGATGAACGGAGCCTCCCTGCCCGCGCCCATCAGCATCAACAGCCGGGCCGCCGCCGCCTCGCTGGCTGCCATCTCCGGGGCGGCCGCCTCCATGCAGGTCTCCGTCTCCCAGCAGCAGCAGCCGCCACCCGGGGAGCTGGGGCACAAGCGGCCCGGCTCGGTGTCCTCCAGCAGCAGCAGCAGCGCCGGCGCTGGCGAGCACGAGAGCAAGGAGAAGCAGCCACGGGGCTCGGCGGAGGAGCTGGGGGTCGAGGGCAAGGGCCGCGGGGGAGCGGAACAGGAGTGGCTGGGCAAGCCCAAGACGGTGCGGGACACGCTGCTGGCGCTGCACCAGCACGGGGGCCACGCGGTGCCCTTCGAGAGCAAGTTCAAGAAGGAGCCCGGCATGGCGGGGAGCAGGCTGCTGGGGTACGAGAGCAACGGGGCCGTGGCCAAAGCAGGTGAGGGGAAAGAGGGTGTCGGCTCCCCCTTACAAACCCCGACCTCCTAACTCCACTTCCTGGTGCCTAACGCGGCACCGTTGCTTAGGCGGCAACGTGTTCATCTGCTGAAGCAGCACAACAGAGAGCTATGAGTCAGGGCTGGCTGGTAGACGCTGACAGGGAGAGGGCTTTCCCTCCCTGCGACGGCCTCGCCATAGGAGCTGCAGTGTAGGCACCAGTAACCTTTTAGCCTGCTAGCAGCGCTGCACAGCCCGCCCGCCTGCCTGCGTGTTAGAGATGTGCTTTTGCAGATTGCATGTCTGCAAGTGGTGGGTGAGTGTGCACATGCACAAGTTGTATAGAATATACACACATACTTTGGCTGTGTGCCATGTTGTGTATGTATTTGCATACGTCATACTGTATAATTGGTATTTGTGTGCAACGCCTTGGCTGTGTATACATCTAAAATGGAAGCCTTTTCAAGCTTGATTTGTGTAGCTGTAATCCCCTTATAGCTGCATTCATCTGATTGGTTTTTCTTATTATTATTTATTTTTCCTTACGCATTTCTCCTCCCCATTCCTTTGTATTTCTAGGGGCTCGGGCAGCGAGGAAGAGGAAGCCTTCCCCAGAACCAGAAGGTGAAGCTGGACCCCCTAAGATCAATGGAGAGTCACAACCCTGGTTGCCAACCTCATCAGAGGGGATGAAAATGTCCATGACTGCTACATCGTTCATGTCCCCACCACCACCAACTGCCTCGCCTCATTCCAACCGGACCACACCGCCTGAAGCAGCCCAGAATGGCCAGTCTCCTATGGCTGCGCTCATTTTAGTAGCAGACAATGCAGGGGGCAACCACTCCTCCAAAGATGCCAACCAAGTTCACTCCACCACCAGGAGGAATAGCAACAGCCCGCCCTCTCCGTCCTCTATGAACCAAAGAAGGCTGGGTCCAAGCAGGGAGGTGCCAAGTCAGGGGACAAACACTGCTGGGGGATTGGAGCCGGTGCATCCTGCCAGCCTCCCGGACTCGTCTCTAGCAGCCAGTGTTCCCTTGTGCTGCACCCTGTGCCACGAGCGCCTGGAAGACACCCATTTTGTTCAGTGCCCCTCAGTCCCTTCCCACAAGTTCTGCTTCCCTTGCTCCAGACAAAGCATCAAACAGCAAGGAGCTAGTGGCGAGGTGTATTGTCCCAGTGGGGAGAAATGCCCTCTGGTGGGCTCCAATGTCCCTTGGGCTTTCATGCAGGGGGAGATTGCAACCATTCTTGCAGGAGATGTGAAAGTGAAAAAAGAGAGAGACTCGTGACTTTTTCCAGTTCACAACCCAACATCACCTGTAACTGAAACTGCTTGACTTGTGTATATATCTATAAATATATATATATATATCTCCAAGACAAGGGAAATGTAGACTTCATAAAACATGGCTGTATAATTTTGATTTTTTTGAATACATTGTGTTTCTATATTTTTTTTGAAGACAAAAGGTATGTACTTAAAGGCATTTCCTCTTTTTGTTATAGCAACTATTTGTTGTGCTTCCTTGGTGACAGTTACTGTTCAATGTAGGCTGTGACTTGCGCTGCTTTTTTTAGAGAGCACTTGGCAAACCAGAAATGCTTCTAGCTGTATTTGTATGCACTTGTTTCTTTTTAAAATGCCAAATACATTTTCTGACATTGTAAAGATCGCCTTACTGTCTGTGATTCCTTATTCTTGGGCCTTGCTCAGAGTCAAGCTGGATGCGTGCAGATTTGATATGAAATGGTAGTGGGGGAAAAGAGATTGATAGGGTGAAATGGGATGTCACCATTACAGCCGAAAGGCAGGTGAATATTAGAAAGCACAAGTGGTTTCTTTCTGAAACATTGTTCTCTTGTTGCAATGGCAAATTTTTTAGACTGAGTCCAATTCCACTGTTTCTAGAAGGAAGTTGCCTTCATAGTAGGATGTTGAGAGATGTCTGAGAGGCGCTGCTGAGTTAGGGATTTCTGGGTTGTTTGCTTTTTTTTTTTTCTAAAAGGAAAAGTTGACCACAGTTCAAGTGATTGGTTGTAAGATTACAGAACTGCATTTATTCATTGATTACATAATGTTAATGCAGAATTTTGGTAATAAACTTAATTACTATATTGGTGTATACACCAGTATAGCACTGCCATCTTTAAAGATCCATAGCTCTTTTAGTGCCACTCACATAATATTTATGCTTGGGGAAAACTAAAGTTTTTTTTTTTTTTTTAATTTGCACATAGTGCAGGTGAACTTTGAGTTTGCTTATCAGTTACTTATAGTACTGTTGGTATTATTAACTATCTCTTACATCATATTTCCAGGTAGTGGCAGGTACAAGATGGTACAATGACAGAAGCAACTGAGATGCTGCCAGGATTGCCTTTGGGCATATCAGTGACAACCCAAATGTGGGTGGAAGAAACTTGTAATCTCTATTATGTGGGTTTTTTTTAAACAAACCTAATACTACTTTTTTGAAAATGAAAAAATAAACTGGTGGAATGAAAGCAATTAGGGTTTCACAAAAGGGGCATGCCCCGTCTTTTTAACTACTTTGGAGTACTCTTTGTAAAGTCACTTCTTTTGATCCAGCCTCTGCATCAATCAGCAAGCAGACTTTTTAAAATAAATCATTATTAGAAATGGCTAAGTCTTATAGTGATGGTTTTTGTGCTGTTTAGTTCATTAGCAACACTGCAAAACCCCTGATGTTTAGGTGTGTTTAACTTGGTCATAAACAATTGTTCGGAGCAGAAACATGACTACAAGTTCTCATCCTTGGGGCAAATAATATACATTTTTCAATTTTTTTAGGGGGAAAAAAATCTGTTCAACTAACTTTAACAGTTTGGGATGCTTTTTAATCAAGTGTTATGATAATATTCAGGCTGCTATTTAATGCAGAGTAGAACTTTTTTGGAAGATTTTTTTTAAATGATCATTATTCATATTTAAAGTTCAGAACTGCACATGCACAGTCATTTTTTATTAAGTGTTTCAATGAGCACACAACTAACATTATGTTCCTTATTACAGGTCAATGTAATATTAAATACAGACTTGCATGGTAAACCAATTCATTGAGTCAATATTACGCTTTAAAATTATACCTATAGTTCAGATTGGTGTCTTATGTAAACATGCAGACAAGTTGGAAAAAACGCACATATATACAACTGTAAAGGATACTTTGGAACACTATGGTCTCTGTAAATGTGTATTTAGCACTTTATTAAAAAATGGATTTCAAGCTGATAGATGGTAACAAGTTCTTCAGAGTTGTTTGGCATAATAACGCATAGTATGGAAGTGTATATGTTTTTGATAAAGTGATATCCCTACTAAAAACTGCATGAAAGGATTGCTCTGCTGTGTTGGCCAACTGTTCAGCTTTGAGCACCTTGAGGTGAGGTGGGAAGGTAACTTTTCCCGCTACTCAAACATATCCTGCTTCCTGGTCTGACTGGCATTTGTGTTGCTCTCCAAGGAGGCCTTTCACTTAACCTTTTATCTGGAGGAAGTGTGCCAATATGTTGCAGCCCATCAGTATCTTTGGACCTGTTCTTTAAAGTAGTTCAAAGGGTGGGAATTCTCAGGCCTTGTTGTTGTACTAGGTGATGGTACATAGACAACACAGGTAGAAAAGAAATGTCAAAAAGTTACTATACCTGCTCTGACTTCTAGTCCCGATATCTCAATTGATTCTAATATACATAATGACATTTCATTATTACAAAAGTGCTTGAAACCAGTATGCGCTTCTTTTTTTTTTAATTTTTTTTGGCATTTCTCAAATTTCAGTTGAACTAAGTGTGTCTTATTTTGTTGCTTGGTGAGTTATGACATCACGATCACTTTATTCACTAAACCAATTTACTGTTTCCTTGGCTACAAAGTTTTTTTTTTTAAAGTGCTTTAGCTGCAACAGTGCTTCTGTTAATATTTTAAAACTTTTTAAAAGGTGATAGTTTGTGTAGTAATAAAGTAAAGTGTTTTAATGAAGAATGTGTGATTCTCAAATCTCACTTTAATTACTCTTTTTAAAGGTTTTACTTTTTACTGGAATATCACCTGCACTATGCTTTGGTTGTTTATAATTGCTAAACTAACACATTACTATTTTTACCTATTTTTTATCTTTGGCATTAAATAAAATATTAGGAGCTTTATGCACTTCCTGTGAGTGGTTTTTTTTTTTATTAAAAAAATGTAAATAAAACGAAAGGCTACAGGCACTGAAGTGCAATGATGTAGTGGCAAAATCAACAGGATTTTTTAAAAATATGGCTTTTTGTCCTTAGTCGCATATAGGGCAGTAAAAAGTAGGGACAAGAGAGCTGAAACATGGACAGGGCAGAACGAATAGTCGAGAAAACGAAATTCCTCCCTCCAAGAAGAGTAGAGGGCAAAAGCCCTCTCTTTTTATCCTTGGTTTTTACATTATGGTGCAGTATCGTCCATCAGGGCCCCTAGTGGGTGGGAAAGTAACATGGCATAAGGGAGACTAAGTGGCCTTTGTGGTGGCCTCAGAAAACCTGGAATGTTTTTGGAGCTGTTTTCTTTTTAAAGAGACATGCTGTAAACCAGGCCCTGGCAACCATGTGTTTTATGAACTAGCACTTATGAAAAGGGTATAAATACATTTGAGTGTGCTCTCTAGTGGTTTATTATGTCAACAGAACCCCTGGATCCTTTCCTTCTGCACTTGGGCCAAATCCCACTTGCCCTGCTTACAGGGATAACAACAATGTCCCACTGATTTCAGTGGAACTTCTGTTGCCAGGAAGGAGAGCAGGACTGGCCATTTGTCTTTATTGTTGGTTGGTTGGTTGGAATCCTTTTTGTAAAAAGTCCAGACCATGAGGATGGCAAACACTATATTAACTATCACTTGGCATTTTAATCAGGCCATGGATTGCAGCAATAGTTAAGGGGCTTGTAGCATATTCTGTAGTAACACTTGCAGTGTTGTGCAGTAAAATGTAAGCTACCATGGAAGAATGTAAATAAAGTGTCCTTATTAAAATAAAAAAAGTGGAAGGAATCCCTTGATACTTCAGAAATTAACCACTTTTAAAAGTAAATCTTTTGATTGTGTCAAATATTTACATTTAGGGTCCTAAATCCTGCACTTAAAGATAAAACTTGTTACTTCTGTCAAAGTTTAGCCAGAGTAAGGAGTGGTAAATGGAGTGCTGGGCATTCAGGATGAAGGGTTTATTTTAGAAGATGCAACCTGAAGGTTGCAAAAGCAGTTTTTCTTATCCATTATCTGTGACAGCAGCTCTAAATAAAACTCTTCCTGATTACATTTTACTATTACATTCATTCTAACCATAAATTAAAGCAGAGTTTGTTGGATTAGTTAAAAAAAAAAAAAAGAGAGAGACTGACATTAATAGACAAGCCAAAGATGTTTTTTCACACTTCTTGTTTCATATTATCAATGGGGCAGACCCCAAAGAAAGTGCCTCAGGACCATTTATATATTATTTTTATTTGGTTAGTAATGCATAAAAGGTTTCTCTTTCTGATTCCTAAGACTAGAAGTGGGATCATTCAGAAAATGTTCAATCACATGGACACTATAGAAGGTCTGAGTCATTTGCTTGCCTTTTGTTCAGTCGGAGAGATTGAGAAGACACGCCTTTCCTCTGTTACAGAGCAAGGTCAGGCTGTGCTAACAGATGAATGGAATACATATTTACCCATTTCATCATTCCAGGCTTTCTGGAGCTGGGGCGCCAGGATTAACTCATTCACTGCCTTTCGGACTATTGGGAGATGCACTCTGTACAATTCAGCATTAAGGCTACAGTTTAACTGTTAATCATATCTTTTTCATGCAAATGAAGTTGAGCTGAAATTTTATGAAAATGTTTGCTTTTTAAAAGGAAGAGAAATGGGGGCATGCAACCCTCGTATTTTAAGAAGATCCTAAATACACTTCAGAAAATAACTTCTACAAAACTTGAATAAGCAGGTCTGCGTGGCTGGAGTGAGAACATAAAATACAACATCCATTGTTCCAATAACTGAGGTTAGATAGTCTAGATGTGCATTGTCTATCTTAACTCCTCTCTCTGCAGTTGAAGAACAGTTTTTCCTGAGTTAGCTTGGGAAGATTTATCCCAGTAGAACAGTCAAAGTCCCCTATGGAGAAGAATCATGATACCAGATGAGTTCATAGAAAAGCTGTAAGATGTGTTCATATTATCACAATTTAACGCTTGCAATCTTGCTTCTACCATTCACGATCTTTAAAAGTTTATTATCCTTAACACATAACATTGCAAAATAGTAAGATTAATAATTTGTACTTAAACACAACATACTTTTAGTATAATGAGAAATCAAAGTCATACAGAAAAATATAGTATTACAATGTCTGCTAGTTGGAACAGGGCTACAGTATCTTGTCTCAGATATTTAATTTGTGTGTGTTACCAAACTGCTGTAGATAACTTTGTACCCTGGTGAATGACAGTTGCCTTGGAGTTACATAATGGAAATAAATGGGGGGCGGGAGAGGACAGTGCGCAGTGGTGTTTACTTACCAGTGGTGAGTATTTTCATACATGTGGTGGAACAAGACAGGATCAAAGGCAAACAGAAAAAAATAGGGAGGATTTGCTGCACCGACATGGGAAAACTGGGCCCTAGAAGGAATCCCAGCTACTTCCCCTGATAACAGTTTCTGTTTAAAATCCCAGGGCTAGGTTCTGTTCTCATTTACAGACAGAAGATGCCATGGTCTTTAATGAGATTGCTCCAGTTACTCCAGACAGCATTTGGCTCTTTGCTCTTTACATGGCTTATGCCTCTCAAATTTAAATCTTTTAGCACCAGTATTATAGGACTTCTATGAGGGGGGAGGTTCCACAGTTCCTCAAAAGCAGGCTGTTGATGGTTTTACTCTTCCCTTCATGATTTCCAGTTTCTGCTGTGCATTGGAAGCAAATACTTTAGAGGCAGAGTGGATGTGGATGGGAGTGGTGGGTGCATAGGCTTGGCATAAAAAGGCTGTGCCCTGGAGGCAGCTTGGAGCCTTTCTATTTACTATAGGCAGCAGCAGGAGCCTCAAAAGGACCTAGGAGACAAAGGTGAGCTGCTTAGAGACAGATGGGGGAAGAGGAAAGCAGCTGCCCTTTGATCATGGACCTACCCACTGGTGTTCTTCATCCACCCTGGATTTCCCCTGTAAGCATCTCGGTAATTCTGTTAATTGTTCCTGATGCCTCTTTGACCCAGATTCATTGCACAATCCAAGGTACTAAAATGTAACCCTGCCTTGCCTAACTTTCAGGTCTTGTTTGGGTGTCTGTTTGAAGGGGAGGGAAATAAGGGTGTAATGCGAGGCTGTACCTTGTTTAATCATCGCACTGGTTACATCCTTCAATTTGGTTTTTTTAAATTACAGTAGCAGTCAGTGCCGTGGTTGTACAGTATCCACCGCAATCAGTGGCGTCTTATTAGTACGCTCGCAAGTGTAAACTTCATTAGTGGGGTTTTGTCGTGAGTAATTAACTTCCCAGGCAGAGCTTTTGAGCTGCAGTCTAGTCACGTGCTTTGCCAGAGATCAAGGCTTGTTCAGGGCACTCTTCTGCTACAGACAAGCTGAGTCCCTCCCAGTACGAGTAGTTACACAACCAAGTTCACCTTCCCCACTGAGGCGCCTCCTGTGATTCCTGTGGCCACACGCCATCAGTTGTTCTCTCTCAGCGCAAGAGGCTGAATCCTGATCCTTTTGCAGTCTAGGGGGGTGAGGGCCACGCTGGGATTTCATCCTCCCGTGTTGCAATAGCAAAGCACTAGCTCACCAGGCTATATTGCAGGCGGGGCGTGCAGAGGAGAGGAGCAGGGAGATGCAATTCACAAAAAAAGAGCGCGAGAGAACCCGCAAAACCTCCTCCCATCACAAAAGAGGCCAGGAGACACTAAAACGTGCCTGACACATGAATCCAGGCGGAGGGAGTCCCCTTCCGAGTGAGGCAGTTGTACAGTCACTGTGCACAGCGCCCTTGACTGTGGTGCAATAACAATAGCAAAGCGCTGGCTCATCGTGCAGCAATGCAGTCTGGGCATGGGGAGGAGCAGCCGCAGGCCCCGGAAGCTGCCTGTGCTTTGCTGGGCTGAGAGCTCCCGTTCCCCTCCCTGACTGACTCTCCAGCGCCGGCAGCAAAGGGAACTGTACCAGCTGCGCTAGCTATAATTAGAGCGAGCAACCTAGGAAGGCGATAATCCCCCTTCCCCGCACCCAGCCGCCCCTCGGTGCCTCCCTCAGCCGCACCAAGAAAGGAATTCATGTGTGTTGACTACAGCTCTTTATCTGGATGGGTCACCTCGTGGTGAACCAAATATAGTAAACGACTGCTGCTGCTAGCGATGCTGCTTCTTCCAAGGGGGAGAATCCAGCATTGCACAACCCAAGAAAGATCAAACGCATGGCACCCGGGCCGCACACATGCTCTGAACTTAGTGCAGATCATCAGGCAAATCTTCCAGTGTAGAGGTGGGGTGGGAGAGTTGCACAGGTAAACCCCTTTCAGATCCTGTGTGTTTGGAGGAAATTGTGCTCATGTTTGGATTGATTTTAAGGTTGTTTTAAAAGTCATCTCTGAAAAGCAGCAGCATGGTCTAATGACCTGGACACAGAACTGGGAGCCAGGAATTCCTGGCTTCTAATCCTAGCTCTGTTGCTGACTCGTGTGGCCTTCAGTAGGTCATTCACCTCATGGTGGGGTTGTGAGTAAGATGATATGCTCTCCTGTATTTTAAGGGATGTCCTTTATTTTTTGCTTCATGTCTGTCTTGTGACCTGCAGCTAAGAATTACTAAAGAGCATTTGACTACCTAAATAGTTTTCAAGTAGTATTCATACAAGGGATTATATGCTGTGCTACAAATTTATTTATTTATTATTTTGCACCACCTGTAAATGACTGAAGTGGATTCCTTATAAAGGTGCTGCCCTGTATTGATTATTCAGTTGTTCTCTATTTCCTTGAAATGTAGGTAGTCAACTCAGTTGGGAGGATTACTTTGGGCTTTTCAATACAGGGAAATTGAGTTAGGACAGGGGCGGGCAAACTTTTTGGCCTGAGCACATCAGGTTTCTGAAATTGTATGGAGGGCTGGTTAGGGGAGGCTGTGCCTCCTCAAACAGCCAGGTGTGGCCTGGCCCCTGCCCCCATCTGACCCCCCCCCTGCTTCTCACCCCCCGATTCTCCACCCAGGACTCCTGCCCCATCCAACCCCCCCGTTCCCTGACCGCCCCCGGAACCCCTGCCCCTGACTGCCCCCCGCAACCCCATCCAACTCCCCTTCTCCTTCCTGACTGCCCCCCCCCCGGGACCCCTGCCCCCATTCAACCCCCCTGTTCCCTGCCCTCTGACCACCCCGATGACTATTCACATCCCTGCCTCCTGACCACCACCCTGAACTCCCCTGCACTCTATCCAACCGTGCCGCCCAAAACACTAGGACAAGCAGCCATGCCACCACGCAGTACAGAGCAGCAGGTCAGGCCATGGCTCTGCAGCTGCACCAGTGGCACAGTGAGCTGAGGCTGTGGGGTAGGGGGAACAGCAGGGGAGGGGACAGGGGCTAGCCTCCCTGGCCAGGAGCTCAGGGGCCAGGCAGGAGGGTCCCGCAGGCCGGATGTGGCCTGCGGGCCATAGTGTGTCCACCTCTGATTTATGGGACAATCAGGAACAGTTAATCAGGAACAACTCTAAGTGTAGACAAGCCCTTACTTATTGCTTGTCAACGCTTTCAAAATGTAACAAGTGTTGTAAGTACAATGAATTATTTTATGACTAAGGATTTTGCTTTGTTTTAGTAATAATACTTTGCACTTCTGTTCCCTCTTTCATGAGAGAATCTTCTACTGCTTTACAAACATTAACTGATCTACCAACATCCAGGTGAGGCAGGTAAGTATTATTATTCCCATTTTACAGAGGAGGAAATTGAGGCATAAAGAGGCTAAGTGACTTGTCAGAGGTCACGCAGCAAGTCAGTGGCAGGACCCAGAATGGAAGATAGTGCTCCTGTCTCCTATACCCCGATCTAACAACTATATTATGCTTCCTCTCTTAAATTTAAAGGTCCACATTCAAAGAGGTACTTAGGCCCCTAGCCCCCAGACTTAAGCAGCCAACTTAAGTCCCAGTTTTAGACCCCACTGCAATTTGCAAAACTCTTGCTCTGCTGCTACCTGAACTCAGTTGGTGACTACATTTTTGCTGTATAAATTCCTTAGGCACCTATGTTTTTGCCTTTAAGCATGTGCGCTGCTGCTTCACTAAGTGCCTAGATGCCTGTCTCCTACCAAAGCCTCAGAGTGATCCATGAACTGGGGGAATACAGGCACTCATCTGCATATTTTGCCTGCAGGGCTTGATCCAGTAGGTGTGCTCAGAGCCTGCCTACAGCATCGGGTCCCATTCAGAAATCTGGCTGGCAGTGGCACTGCTAGTATCTACCTTATACTTCTAGCCTAGCAGTTAGCGCATTCATGGGGGAGAGCCAGGTTCAATTCTCCCCCCTCTGCTACGGGAGCAGATAGGATTTGAACAGGGGTCCCCCACCTTTCAGGAGCATGCTCTGACCACTGAGCTATGCGATTGTCTGATGTAAGGCTCTCTCAGTCTCTTTTGTTGAAGCTATTCCATTTTGGATAAGGAATTAAGGAGTCACTGGGCCCAGGAGTGAGGGGGAATGACTTTGTAGTCTGGTGTGTAGGGTACTCACTTGGGTGACCCAGGAGCCAGTTATCCCTGGTTCAATGGTCTCTATAATTATTTATCCAGAGTAGACCAGCTTCAACAGAAGAGACTGAGGGAGGGGAGCTCCCCCCCCCCCATTATCCCATAGCTCAGGGAGTAGAGCCATCTCCTGAGGGATGGGAGACCCCTGTTCAAATCCTTTCTACCCATCAAGCAGACTGCTGGGAGTAGAACCTGGGTCTTCCACATCTCAGATGAGTGCTCTAATCACTGGGCTAAAGGTTTAAGGCATCACCACCCTCGTCGTTGTGTGTGAAGTGAAGTAGGCACCTAACTCATTCTTGACAGAAACAATTTAGGTGCGTAAGCTGCCTGACTCCAGGAGAGGGGTTCCCAGTTTTGGATCACAAGCAGAGACCGGTGCCTAACTCCATGAGAGGGGAGAGGCGTGGCATACACCCCTCCCATTGGCTAGCTATGGCAGCTCCTGCCTAGCATGCTGTCTTTTGTGGATGGCATTCATTCTTAGGTGCCTGTCTCTACCCAGGCATACCTTTTCAGATCTACTACATGCAATAGTGAAACAAGAACCGTGCACAAACCCACCTTCTCCATTGTAGATCACCTTTTGTAGACATTCGTAACTTGACAGTCTCTCCTCCAATGTTGAAGTCCTTCATCGGATGGCTGTTTTGATCATTTTCAATGTTTATTTGAGTCATGCGTCTCCTGCTGTGCTTTCTTTCCAGATTTGATTGCTTGCCCCATGATAATATAATCTACTGTAACATTTTTATAGTAATATATTTTAATACATCAGCAAAGGAGGTAAAAGTCTCCTACTCATATAAAAAAGGTGGCATGGAATCTTTAATGTTCATGTAGAGTAGAAACAACTTGATTTTTGGGGCCTTGGCCAAATGACCCCATACAGTAAATGGGGATGGATCTCAGTTTATCTGCCTTTGAAGGATGAAGGATTGAGTGGAACCTGCTGGTGTTTGAAGCTGTAGGCAGGGTAAGTAATTCCAAATTTAAGCTTAGACATCTGAGCTGTTCCCCTGCCCCCTGCTTTTGACTAGGAGAAGAAAAAAGCGCATAAATGGTATGAAATAGACTGATTTCCCCCCATTGCAGTACAGTACTAGACGTCCTTGTATGATTATATTGCTGGAGCTTTTGTTTTTGTGTAGTCCTTTTTCTTTTCTTGGAAGAGAAGAATAACATAATGTAACAATAATTGAACATATTCATTTCCCCCCATGATGTATTTACAGCATAGGAGGTCATTAACTAGCACCATCTTGGTTCAGTTATTATTTGGATTAACATAGCTTTAGAATTTTGGACACAAACAGAACTAGCTTCCATTGTTGTCAGACACATGTAAATAATAACCAGTCAGTGGGCAGTACTGACTTTGATCTTTTATTTTCTTCTTTTCATTTTTGAAATCCATGTCATAATAGCAGCAAGATATTCCAGGTAGAGTATTTCTGGGAATTATTGCACTTGTTGAGTAGCTAGTCACTTGGCCTCCTGCCTAAGCTCTCAGAGTACTAATAGTAATGGATTGGGGATTTTTTGTGTGTATTTTTTTTTTTTTAGTGTTTATTAAAGATGCCAGATTGGCAACCCTGGAAACTGAAGTTGTCTATTTATTATCTGCAAACTGGGACCAGTTTGAGCTGCAGCAGTGTGTGCTTCTCCATTCTGTGCCACAAATGTGCCCTTAAGAGGATAAACTCCTCTGGGGGTTGTTACCTTTTTCTACTGAGCATGCCAATTTTGGAGGCATGTTTTTCTGGAGAACTCCACAAGGAATTAGAGTGAAACCAACCAACTCATTTCATGAAGGCCACTGAAGAATCATCATCTGGTGACACCTTTCAGTCACTACCAACCTACACAGAACTTGACCTGGTGGATGAGAAACTCTGTATTTTATAGCTAATCCCCAGAGTTAACCAGTCCATAATTAACAGCAATATTATTAGTTCATGGGCTTTTCATTTGACACAGACAATGTCATTCTGTGTGATGTCATCTGAGGTGAATGCGCTGCCCACCATGTCTTTCTTATCCACCTCCCACTCCCAGTATCTTCTAGAACCCTTTTAAATAATAACAGAGTCAGATTCTATGCACAGTAGAATTTCACTGATTTCAGTGAGGCTGTATTGGTATAACTGAGTGAAGACCATAATATTCTATAGTCACATTAAATCTCATTGGATTTGACCTAGGGTTCGTTTGTTTCTTTCGGATTAAAACACAAGGGAATATGGAACATAATGTGATATGTGCCCATTTCATATTGAAATTATCCAAATAATGAGTTAAATACATAGATAAACATACTGACAATGCTGCATATGGACAAACAGCCTACAATGGGGTGTAGAGCTCCTCTCCAGAGATTGACAGGGAAGCAGTTGAGTAAGTGCTACGGTTGCCTTGCATGAGTACAGATATGCAATGCGTACTGTTTCTTTTGGTTAATGACTT